GGTGGCGGCTGGCAATGGTCTCGTTAGCCGTATAAAAGGTTAGGGGCGTTTCTGCCCTAGTTGGAGAACTCCGCGATTCCCCCTGGAGTGGAAGTCCGGCAGCTTGATCACCTGCCAACTACTCCACCGTCGACGAAGCCTTGCGACGTATCCTCCGTGTTGCATGCCCGAGTTAGACCCGAGCTACCCGGTCTACAAGAGCTCCTCGATTAGAGATTAGAATTGTTGCAACTACGATTGCCTGCTCTGTATACGACTCTACAGTGTAAGTAAAGCCATCTCTGTTTTTTCCAATTGATACGTGCCTCGTCTATGCCTAATTCCGCTCCAGTGATAGAGAGTACCCATCTGCCCGTCATGGGATTGCAGCCGCAACCCTAGCTAGCGTTCCCGAGGGCTCCTGATCCTCGATTCCCCCTCGGCCCCCACAAAACTGTCATTAAAGTGATAATGATGCTCTGCCTCACAGGAGTAGTGTTTGACTTAATGGCCCAGACTTTTGGCATGGATAAATTGTCAAGGCACCATTGACTCCAATAGAGCCATACCAATAAGATGAGAGGCTGACATAATATCAAAAAGCCTTTTGAAAGTGCTGAATGAAAAGCATTATGCATGTGGAAGGTATTGTTGATTTAATAAAAATCTGTCTATTCTTCAACCACAGCAGAAAGCTGGTCTATGAGGCAAATGGATGACTATACCCAGTCTGAGAAAACATCCAGTTACTCACAGTGTTTTTTAGGATCTACTGTACATATGCTTTTAGTATGAAAACAGGTATCTAACAGAATTGCTGAAGAAGTGTGAATAAAACGTAAATATATTTTAAATTGCAAAATCACATGGAAAATTATTTATTGAATTGTGAAGTAGTTGGATTTCAGCTTGCAATATTGAGGCAGAATAGTATGGTGGGAAAGGTGGATTGCAATACTTTAACCCCAAGCAGAGAAAGGAGGTGAGGGCACTGATGTCCATTTATTTGATGTCCTATTCAACAACAAATTAATTCTCAGTTTTGTGACCTGCCAGTCTCTGGTAACTTCCCCAAGTATCATTGTTTTTCCAATCACTCTTTGCTGCCCAGTATCCTTGTCAGTATGGAACTAAAATCCACATTTAATTTGTTTTATGTAGTTCATAGTTATGTCTTTTCACCTGAGGAGTTAGTCAAAATCTGGGGTATTTTAAATGATTTCATTAATGAAGGGAAATTCTTGAGAGAGACAAGTATCTTTGGTGCAATTCCTATTTGGTGACAAGAACACACATCTCATCTCATTGACCCTAGGAGTAATCAAAGTTTCCTTTCTCATAGCAATACATTTCTCCCTTCTCTCTAGGTCAGCAGTCCTCAATATCTGGCCTTCAGGCCAAATCTGGCAGAGTTGTATTATCCAGCCATTGGGGTCCCCACCGATCAGGAAATCTGGCAGGAGGAGAGCAGTGGCAATGTTAACTGCCACTCCCCTGCTGTCAAATTTCTGAACCTATGGGAAGCTCTCCTGGCTGAAAAATGTGTCCCTGCATGCTAGCATACATGGTTGCTCCACAACCAGATCCAGTGCACAGGGTTGTATTAGGGTAGCTTGTCATTAGGGCTGTGCGAAGCTTTGGTTGCCGATTCATTTTGGTGGAGATTTGGTCCCTCAGTAGTGTAAATCATTGTCTTTTCTATTGACAAGGGGTTATCTGGTTTGGACCATCTCAGGAAACTGATTGATAATCAGGAAACACTTAAGATTAGGGAGTAACCCAAATACTTGGGAGCCAGCTTGAAATTCCTATGGATGGCAGATATACTGATGGGATATCTCATGGTTTCTTCAGGAACAATAGATAGCTTGCAGCATCAGGATTTTGGATTTTTACTTGTTGTGAACAAGCCTCAGCTTAGCATGACTTTTCCAGATTTTACTATAGTCTTTTAACAGACTTAAGACAATTATTGGGGTGCTCATAACCTTTTGTGGAGAGGACTCCCACCAGTCGTCTCAGGAAAAATATGATAACACCTGGGATTAGGGCTCCAGCAGGCTGGATGCTGTGATGAACCCTTAACCATTGTTCAAATGTTGCCCATACCCCCTCTGACTCGGTCTCTTGCCTCAGCATTCCCTAACCCGGCAACCGAGTTTTAGTCAATCAAGTTTAAATAGGCCTCCCATAGTGGGACTGGGGAATGTACAGCCCGAGATGCCTATTAAACTTAGAGCTGTGTGTGTGTGTCTGGGGGGGGAAGTCCTTAGCAAATCCAGATTAGAACTGGTCTGATAAATGCTGAACTGGGTGTGTGTGAACATGGGTTGATTAACATTTGAAGCACAGATTCCCCATCATGCAGCGCTCTCCTGCTTCTCTGGTCCCAGAAGATGTAAATGAGACCTAGGGCAGTTGGTTCACTCTTGTCACCCTTATCTGGAGGGTCTTAGGTGTGTCTCTCACTGCATCTGAATCAGTTTTGTTTAGGTAGAGGAGGGGAGGGAGGGGGGTTGAGTCCTTTGTGAGTCAGACAGACTGCATCCTGTGCCAGGGTTGCCCAAGAATAGAGCTGAGGCGTAACAGACCGACCCCACACCACTCAGGCTGTGGGGCCACAACTTTAGGTACCACTGCTCTAGGCCAGTGGCTCTCAACCTTTCTGGACTTGAGGCCCCCCTTACTCCTGACCTGTAGCCCCCTGGCCTTGCTAGTGCTCCTCACTCCCAATCCACAGCCTCCCCTTCTCCCAACCCCCGCCCTGCTGATGCCACTCACTCCCAACCTGATGCCCCCTAACACTATCCCCACAGTGTGTGGCACAGGGTGTGGGTATGTGGGGGAAGTGTGTGGGTACATGGGTGCAGGGCACAGGGGGATCTGTGCGCCCACAGCATGCGCAGGGCTGCAGCCTGACTAGATTGGCATGGGCAGGACCCATTGTGGGAGAGGGGAGCAGGGCAGCGAGACTTGTTGCTGCTGCTGCCAGAACCCCTGCACCAGCTGTGCTGCCAGCAGTGAGGCGTAAGGGACCAGGTGGGGCATGCTGCCCTCACCTCCTCCCACTGCCAGCTGCTCACGCACTGGGCCATGGCTCTACCTTGCTGCTGAATCAAGATCCAATTGCTGAATGGCCTGGCATCTACTTCCCTAGTGGGCAGCAGCTGTTCCTCACAGCAGCTCAGACTGATAAAAACCGTCAGCTTGCACAGGGTTGAATCCAACATGCAGCACGTTGCCACCCTGCCCTCTTGGGGAAATCTGTGCCAAGTATTTTTTCCCCTTCCCTTCAGACAGTATGCAGTCAGGTCGAGTCACAGATTGGTCCCCTTCCGCTTGCCCCGTCTGGACTCACTTCATGTGGGGCACCAGGGCGGGAAGGGCTCTGACCTGAAACCTTGGCCCCTCTGAAGCCCATAGCAAAGCTGTTCCTCCATTGGCTTTCCCCAATGCTGGGCGACAGCAAGCTGGATGCTGGTCCTGGACCAGCGCAACCAGAGGGCGCTTTGCAGAGACAGGATGCGGCCCTCGGGGGCTGCTCCCCGGTAACCGGAGGCAGGCGGAGCTGAGCTCGGTGCAATGCGCGAGTGCTTAACCTTGCGCGAACCCGCGCGTCGTCCCACCCCACGTTCTCCCCCAAGTCCTGGCAAAAGCGTCACAGCCGCTAATACGCATGCTCCGTCTCATGCGCATGCGCACAAAGCGCCAAGCCTTTAGGCGGAGGCCGGAGCCTTCAGTCTAGCGCGCTCTCGGTTCCAAATGGCGGCGCGTGACACGGAAACGGCCCAGAAACAAGTGAGGGGCGGCGGGCTTCGTTGCTGGCTTCCAGCTGCGTCGCGGAGGTTGGGGCGTCTTCCTGCCTCCCCAGTGGTTCCCTCCCACTGGGAACCAGTGGCTGGTTCCCCCCTCAGCTGCTAGGGGCAGGTCTGCGCATGTGCAGTCCTAGTGCAGACGAGGCGGCGGGGCGGGAAAGTTCCGCGCATGCACAGCCGTGGCGTGGAGGGTGGGGGGCTCCTCTGCGTCTGCGCAGCCCTAGTGGAGACGTCGCTCCGCAGTGATGGAGGCTCCTGGCCGGGGGGAGGGTGCTGTCTGCTCCCAGTGGGTTGCACCCGGTGTCCTTGCAAACAAGGAAATAACGGGGGAGAAAGCAGCACTTCTTAACTGGGGGTGGAGCATTGATCCTTGTAAGGATGATGTCCATTAGTAGTACCCTTAATAGGAAAGCCCCAAAGGTATGTTGATGCTTGTGCCTGATGCATGGAGTAAATGCAGAGACTTCATGTGGGAGCTGGCGGGGTCAACCTGTTGTGGACTTTCAGGGCTGTTTACAGCAGAAGGAACTGCTGTATTTTTCTGCAGTCAAAAAAAATGAGTAGAAGCTAAGCAATAAAGGGCTCCTGGAGTCTGCAGGGTGAGGAGGGTAGTTTTGTGCCTTGGGTCTAGGGAAGGCTCAGAGCCATTAGCCTGAAGCTATACTGATGTGAGATGGTTGTTGGAAGGCTAAAGCCATGAAAAAAACATGTCTCAAACACGGCTGGTCTGTCCCAGAGCCACTGCTCTTTAGACAGGTGGTTTGCAGCCCATCTGTCATGAGATCCTTTAAAGAGAGCTGCACAGCTTTAGCACAGTTAGCTGTGCAAACACCCACACATGGCTCTCACGATAAACCCAGAGATTTCAAATAAGATAAACCCAGAGATTTCAAATAGGAATCCACAGTATCAGAACCATTCTGACCTATTGCGGTCTTTCTGAGGTCTTTGCAACAGAAAGATTTTGCTATTATTTTTCCATAGTCAAAAAGAGCGTGAGAGCACTAAGAGCGGCATTTTCTGAGGGGTAGCTTGAGTCTAAAAAGGTTGAGATCCACAGGTCTAAATGCTTCATTCACCGTCTCAATTTTTCAGAAAACTTTTCTCTCTGGAATCAAGACATTTAGAGTAGTGGATTGTACAGGCAAAGTTTCATGAGGTTCAGTCTTTCAAAGAGTGGCTGGTAACTTGATTTAGGTTTCATGTAGGTTGGTATGACCTGTAACATGCAGGAGGCAAGGACTTCTTAGGGCATGGGTTTTCAACCTTTTTTGGTTGGGGTACGCCCGGCAGCTGGTTGAGAGGCATGGAGTCCCCTGGTGGCCGGTTGATGAGTGGGGGGGAAGGGGACCCCTGCGTGGCGTGCAGCAACGGAACCTGGAAGTGCCGCCAGCTTTTCCATGCTGCTGCCGCATACCTACTGGGGCCTTCAAAAGTACCCCTGGTTGAAAACCTCTGTCTTAGGGTGGAACCAACTATGTAGTTGAGATAATCTTTCAAATGTAAGACATTCTTCAAGTCTCTGATCACAGGGAATCAGGCATAGCATAGTGAAAAATCCTTGCCTTGCATAATTTCTGGACTATTGTAGCTACAATAGTACTCTTGCACACCCATGGTATGACATTTCCAGACAAGTGTGGAAGGTTTTGTTGGTGGTGTGCTTTTATAAAGTATAATGCATGAAACTGAAGAGAGGTCTGAAGTAAACAAGTCCATTGTTTTTGTGTGTGTAACGACTTAGACTTTATTTCTAGATAGGATCACAGTTCTGGTGAGTGTGATGAGAGGCTGCTCAGCTTCTAAGAGAAGTGCCTTTTTAAGTTTTAATGCATTTGTCTTGTAGATTGATGAAATAGAAGCGCTCTCCTCCATATATGGTGATGATTGGTGTGTTGTTGATGAAGATGAAAGGATATTTTGCATTAAGATCAGTGATTGCTTGGAGCAACCAAAATGGACTCTTTGTTTGCAGGTACTGGGTTTGTAGGTACATAGTTTTAATGGATTGTATAATTAATCACACGGCTATCTCTTCCTCCTTGGAGTCCCATTTAGTGGGACTCCATCAGGATTCTAGCATTTGTTTGGTTGTTCAGTGTTGCTATTGTTTAAATGGGACCTTTAATTTTGTTTTTGGTAATCACTTCCTTAAAAGTTACATGCTAGCTATTTAGGAATGACTTTTGCACTATTTTGCACTGTTAAAAATTTGGCTTCAAAAAAATCTTTCCCAAACCGTCCTTTTTCTTTTTAGCTGTTTTTATATTGATTTTGCTGAAGTGGCACAGCTCCATAACATTTTATTAGCTTAGTTTGACCTACCTGAAAGGATTAATATACTTGTTTTAATTGAAATGTCTAAAATATTTGGAACAGCAGTTATGTATGTCACTATGCACTGCTGCAAACCAAAAACACTTAGAATTAAAACACGTTTTCCTGTAGCATGGACAGGACTGAAACTTCTACGTATAGGCGAGTACAAGCTTCTCAGTAAGTTGAATAGCTGTGTGTTGGCTCACATGAAATTTCTTCTCTCCTTTATTTTTCATAACACTTATTTCACATAGACCAGACCATAGGACATGTTACTTATGTGCATTACAGATATCAATATCTTAAAATAATACCGAGATTATACCTTTAGTATAGAAAGATGCATCTTTCTGTCAGCACATAACAGTACTGGAGCAATTTTTTTTTTCATTGTGGAAGACTGCTTAACCTGAACTCTCCATACCAAAATCTATAATTAACTTTTGGCTAGTTTTGGAGGACCAGTCTAATGATTATGTTAAAATTCTTTCAGGTGATTCTGCCTCCTGAATACCCAACCTCAGCCCCACCAGTTTATCAACTGAAGTAAGTGATATCACTTAGTCAACCTCTTTAAATAATTATTGCATTTTTGTTAAATGATCAGTATTGGAGTGGTGTGGGTGAAGTTGGGAGGAAAGAGCCCAGGCCTGCCAGACACTGGTGGGGGGCAGGGAGATGGTGGGCAGACTTGCCATGAAGCTTTCTTCTGTGCTGCCACTCATGTTTAGGAAGAATTGCCCATAAAAATTTGTAAAGTTGCCTTATAATCCTCCTCCAGATTCTTCCTTAATGCTTACCTTTGCAGTGAAGCCTACAAAATTCTGAACTACAGTTATGCTGGTGATGTGCCTTGGCTTCTGCCTATCACGTCTTCTCCAAGATGAACATGAGTCATCAGTGTGACAAAGTCATCAGAAAAGCTAATGGCACTTTATCGTGCATCAGCAGATGCATGACGAACAGAACCAAGGAGGTGATAATTCCCCTTTATCGGGCGCTGGTCAGACCGCAGTTGGAATACTGAGCTCAGTTTTGGGCACCGCACTTTAAGAGGGATGTGGATAACCTGGAGAGGGTCCAGAGAAGGGCCACTCGTATGGTTAAGGGCTTGTAGGCCAAGCCCTATGAGGAGAGACTAGGGCACCTGGACCTCTTCAGCCTCTGCAAGAGAAAGTTGAGAGGCGACCTTGTGGCTGCCTATAAGTTCATCATGGGAGCACAGAAGGGAATTGGTGAGGTTTTATTCACCAAGGCGCCCCCGAGGGTTACAAGAAATAATGGCCACAAGCTAGCAGAGAGCAGATTTAGACTGGACATTGGGAAGAACTTCTTCACAGTTAGAGTGGCCAAAGTCTGGAATGGGCTCCCAAGGGAGGTGGTGCTCTCCCCTACCCTGGGGGTCTTCAAGAAGAGGTTAGATAGGCATCTAGCTGGGGTCATCTAACCCCAGCCCTCTTTCCTGCCTATGCAGGGGGTCGGACTCGATGATCTATTGAGGTCCCTTCCGACCCTAACATCTATGAATCTATGATTCTGTAGTGCCTCTTTGTTTTCTTGCGGTCTGTCTGAATCCACCTGTTACCTGTTGTTTTATGCTTGGATTGTAAATTTGGGTTGGGATCGTTCCTAGTTAGTACAACCCTTTAATACAGTAAGGTGTCGTTCCACCCTACCCCCGGCCCACCCGATAAGCAGTGCTTAGGTATTGGTGTAGAACAAAGTTGTAACAATAAGAAGAAAAAACTTTTGTAAAGTTTGTGGTTAATTTGGGACGTAAAAGCTAGCACTGTAAGCCTGAAGAATCATCGTCAAGGATCACTGGAAGACAGGCTGGAGGAAGCTCTTGAGCTCTTGCACCAGTGCAGAGACAGATACAAATAAAAATTATGTGATATGCATAGGTTTGAAGGACTTTCCAGAGAAAACTTGGGTTAGGGTGCAATGGTAGTTACGTTAATGAACTAGTATGGAAAAAGTGATCAGCTCTTTTCACAGGGAGTGTCAGAGTAAACCCCAAGGTAGGATAACCTTTAAATCCTCATTACATTTAAAAACTCCAAATCTTTATCAGAAGGAAGAGTTGACAGTCTTTTGTTTAAAAATTCTTATTCTTCAGGAGTTTATTGTATTTTGTTTTAAAGAAAAACATTTGTTGAGGAAAATACAGTCACTGAAGCATACAATACCTTAATCAATTTATCGACTCCACCCTTCATTGTGTCTACTTTCATTCCAGCGCTCCTTGGCTTCGAAGACAAGATTATATGGAGCTGGGAAACAGCCTGGAAGAAATATGTGTGTAAGTGGCAGAATCTGGAAAATTTTACAAATTGAACAGGGTAATTTCAGTTCATGGCTCCTTAAATGTAAGAAGCTAGGTAATGTATAAATTAGATTGTTTTATTTTGTCTTGGCTATTGCTGCAATTATTTCATAATCAATCTAATATAGTTCATGCTCACTGTTCACTTTGGGCCAGATCCTATGCTACCTCTTAGGCACATTTACACTTATGTGCCTAAATGTGATCATATTTCACCCTGTGGCCCTGAAAAAAATGTTCACACACAAGCTAAGTGGGTCCTGCTCTTTGCTATTTCTTTGACTGTCTTAGGGCAAAGATTATGACATGTTACAAAAGTAGACAAGATAGCAGTTCTTCAGGGATTCAAGGAAGGTGGAACAAGATAACCACTTATATTGAGAATTATATGGTGCAATGTAGGATCTAACAGGGCAACTTTCTGTTCTTTACTGGTTGTCTAAATGACCATTCTGTTGGATTTTTACAGGGCATTTTTTGGTACTTACACTTCCAGGGATATCCTCTTCTTCCATGTATAGCCCCGTGTAGAGGTGCACTGATACAGTGGTCCCATATCAAATTGGCACCAATATAAGGAAAATTGACTGCAGCAGCAATGGGCTTTTTTTGCCTGATGTGGCTAATGATGTGACTGATAAATGCCGTGTGCATGTGCAGCCGCAGCACAACATGTAGGTAGTCAGGAGCAGAGCCCAGCAGTGTGGAGAGCAGTTGGATCTGGCTGGTAAATCTGTTATGAGGGAAGGGTATGCGGGGGGCAGGCTGAGGCTTCCACAGTGAGGGAGGGAGTGGGGCTGGGGCAGGTGCTGCCCAGCTGGGGTGGGGTGTGGGACTGAGCTGTGTGTGGTGGTGGTGGGGTTCCCACTGCTATATGCACCCCCAGGGGAGGCATGGGAGGCATGTGCCCCTGGATCTGTGTGGGGCAAGTGTGGGCTGCCTCTGCGGGCTGGGGTGGGGTGGTACCAGGATGCACTCAGGGCAGGCAGTGGTGGCACTGGGGTGGGGGGGAAGGGGATGTTACGGTGAATTTTGGAGTGCCTGCAGCCTCTTCCGTAGCACCCCTCCCAGTGCTGTCCCTGCCTGTCACGAGCCCAGCCG